TCGTGCAAAATTCTACTTCACAGAGCGGGGAGAAAGGGCTGCAAAGTTCAAAAAGAGAACTCCCAGAACGACCACCAACTGGGAACTCTTTGGTACTATTGCGGCAACATGGGAAGATGCCATTGTTGACAACATTGACGAGGAATACGATCGACTGGTTCAGCACCTCCATGAATGTGCGAGGAACGCCAAGAGAGAGATAGCCACAAAAAATCGCCTATCTTCGAAAACTCTTGAGCTAATTCGCCAGCGTGGTTTGGCGCATGCCTCAGGCAACCGCAAGCTAACGTCCGAGCTCGCAAAGCAGTGCAGAGATGCGATCAAGGAAGACCTCAAAGAGAGAAGAGCAGAAGTACTGGTAGATGCGGCAGAAGCCGGGAAAAGTATTCATAACGCCCGCCTGTCCTTCGCCAACTATAAGACCAAGATGACTGCCCTCCAACGTCCTGATGGATCCATCACATCCTCCAGAACGGCAATGGAGAAGATTATCCATGACTTCTACTCAAATCTCTTCGATAGCCATGTCCACTTGCTGACATACCAAATTCCACAGGATGGATATGTCGTTCCCAACGTTCTCCCTTCCGAAATCCGACACGCCATTTTGTCGGTAAAGAAACAAACAGCACCCGGCCCAGACAAGGTCAGACCTGAACACCTGAAGAACCTGCCGTCAGTACTCATCAATACACTGGCTCAGCTCTTCACTCGCTACCTGTCTGAATGCAAGGTTCTGTCCCAATGGAAAACCAGCAGGACCGTACTACTGTTCAAGAAGGGAGACATCCATGACATTGGCAACTATCGCCCGATCTGCCTATTGTCTGTCATCTACAAGTTGTTCACTCGAGTCATCCTAAATAGGATTGGCAGAACACTAGATGAAGGACAACCATGCGAGCAAGCAGGGTTCCGCAAAGGATTCAGCACCATCGACCATATCCACAAAATAACCAAGCTCATTGAGGTTTCTCGGGAGTTCAAGTTGCCGCTCTGTTTAACGTTCATTGATTTAAAGAAGGCCTTTGATTCTGTTGAGACGGAAGCGGTCATTGAAGCCCTAGCCAATCAGGGCATTTAAGCCCAATACATCAGGATCCTCCGTGAGCTGTATTGCGGATTCACTACCAGGATCTCACCATTCTACAAAGAAGTGATCGTTGATGTCAAGAGAGGGGTGTGGCAGGGTGATACCATTTCACCGAAACTCTTCAGTGCCACCCTCGAGAACATCATGCGACGACTGGAATGGGAAGGAATGGGAGTGAAGATAGATGGTCGGCAACTACACCACCTCCGCTTTGCTGATGACATTGTTTTAATAACACCAAACATCAGCCAAGCGGCACAAATGCTGGCCGACTTTGACCGTGAGTGTGGAAAGGTAGGACTACAGCTGAATCTTACGAAGACAATGTTTATGAGAAACAGCCTTGTTCCTGACGCCCCATTCGCTCTCAATGGAACGACCATCTCCGAATGCAACAGTTATGTGTACCTAGGTCGAAAGGTCAACATGACAAATGACCTGGCACCCGAGCTGCGCAGGAGGAAGAGAGCGGCTTGGAACGCCTTCAAGAATGTCGAAGAAATAGCTAAGAGGACGAAGAACCTCCGGCTCCGGGCACATCTCTTTGATTCCACTGTTCTTCCTGCATTAACATATGCCTCAGAGACCTGGGCCCTACGCAAACAAGATGAGAACGCTATTCAGGTCTCCCAAAGAAGAATAGAAAGAGCTATGCTTGGAATATCACATTTCACTCAAATGAGAGAAAGAATCCGGAGTTCTGACATCCGTCGACGATCAAGGATCAGGGACGCTGTCTCATTTGCCAAGGTGTCGAAAATCAGATGGACTGGTCACGTAATGAGATTTAAAGACGACCGTTGGACTAGAGCTGTTACTGACTGGATTCCACGGGATGTCAAAAGACTGCGTGGCCGCCCACCTACCAGATGGTCAGACTTCTTCGTTAAGATCATGAACGATCGGTTTGAGGCCCTTCATGTTCCCAGAGCGAACAGATGCCATTGGGCTACACTAGCACGCGACAGGGACAAATGGAGACGTTACTGGCGCCTGCTCGAGCAAATCGACGACTAACGGGAAGTTAAGTGATTAAGTGATTAAGTGAGTGTAAATGTATTTTTCAAAAGGAGATACACTTAAATATATTTTTAATGTTGCATATCAAAAAAATAAGGCTGGAGTGATAGCACAGCGGGTAGGGCATTTGCCTTGCAGGCAGCCAACCTGAGTTCGATTCCTCCGCTCCTCTTGGAGAGCCCAGCAAGCTACTGAGCGCATCTTGCCCGCACGGCAAAGCCTGGCAAGCTGCCTGTGACGTATTCAATATGCCAAAAATAGTAACAACAAGTCTCACAATTTGTTATGAGACATTATTGGTGCCCGCTTGAGCAAATAGATGAACAACGGGAGGACAGTGCTACATAAAAAAAATATCAATGAGGAGCCAGAGCAATAGTCCAGTGGGTAGGGCATTTGTCACAAATGTGGCCAACCCAGCTTCAGTCCCCAGAACCCAATATGGTATCTTGAGCTCAGGAGTGGTCACTGAACGCAGAACCAGGAGTGAGCTCTGAGCACTGCCAGGTATGGAAGGAGGAGGAAGAGGAGGAGATATCAATGAAAACCACAAAGAAGTCTCTCTATACATATATGTCAAACTGACTAAAATTAAGACTGACAATAACAGTGGTTGATGTATTCTAAAACATCGCTTGAAAAATGATATAGCAATTTGGAAACGTTTTGCAGCTTCACATTAAAATTTTTTTAATATGATGTGCTTATCAAATGATCCAGTAATTCTGTTCCTAGGTATTTATCCAAGAAAAACGAGTATGTCCATGCAAAGACCTGCTCTCATTTATTTACATCTGTCTTACTCATATAGTCTAAAACTGGGAACTATCCAAATGTTCATCAACATTTGTATCAGTCAGGAATGTTTTTCAAGGTAATGGCTCATGCAATTATGGGGCCTGGCTATATAAATCTACAATCTGTAGGGGTGGGGTTATCAGCCTTTCAACTCATTGAATCTTGTCCACCCACTTTATAGAAAATGATCGTTACTAAAGGCAACCAATTTTAGATGTTAATCTTATCTACCAAACATGCTCAAGCCACCCCTGCCTACACTAAAGTCTAATTAAATAGCTAGGTATGATAGCCTATCAAGTTGACATAAAATTAACCCGCAAATGACTGGATACATGGATTATTAAGTATTACAATAAACAGAAATAATACATAGAAATGACTACTGGTTTATTTCAGTAGTTTGAGTAACAATGTGGATAAATAGATCTCAAACACATCCTTTTTTCAGTCAAAGAGGTCAGACAGAAGATCATATTTGGGGGCCTGGGAGATAATACAGGGGTTAAAACACTTGCCTTGCACATGGCCAATCCCCGATAGATCCCCAACACAATCTTCCCACTGCTTATGGTACCCCAGCCACCACCAGCAGTAATCCCTGAGTGTGGCCCAAACCCCTCTCCCACCCAAAACACATAAACAAAACAAGAAGGTTCTACCTGATTCTACTTATGTGAAATTCTGGAACTGTCCATCCTAACCTATGTGTCAGGAAGTAGGTGCTGACCTAATACAAATTAGGTGTTAAGAGGCAGAAGCTTTAAAAGGAAACAAGGAAATTTGTGGGAGTAATAGAAATGTTAGCCATCATGCTAATGGCTACATGGTACAAATATTTGACCAATTGTAATTTGTCAAATTACACACTTTACATGAGTGTATTTTTTCATATATCAATTTTCATATATAAATTATTACTTGATAAAGTTGCTGTTTTGGTAAGAAAGTTGATTGCTATTGATGTTTTTAAATAGGTATACTTCCCCCAAAACCTTCTTTTGAAAAAAGACTGCCCATTGAGGTCAGAATAGATCAGTGGGTAGACACTTGCCCACGGTTCAATCTCTAGCACCCCATATGGTCCCCTGAGCACCACCAGGAGTGAAAGTAATCCCTAAACTCAGAGCTAGGGATAACCCCTGAGCTCCGTTGGGTGTGCCCCAAAAACAAAAATCAAAAACAAAACAAAACACATCGGTTTCCTATTGAGTTACTTTGTATCATTGTGTGTGTGTGTGTGTGTGTGTGTGTGTGTGTGTGTGTGTGTAGAATTCATGAATCTTCTGTGGCAATGAGAAGTTCCAAAAGCAGAATCAAAAGATAAGCTCACAAAGAGAGGGGCAGGAGCCACAGCACAGCAGGGCGGGTGTTTACCCTGCACAACGCTGACCTGGGTTCCATCCTCGTACCCCTGTACGGTGTTCCCCACTCCCGCAACACCAAGAGTCATTCCTGAGTTCAGAGCCAGGAGTAAGCCGTGAGCATTGCTGGAAGGGGGCCAAAATCATCATCATCATCATCATCATCATCATCATCATCATCATCATCATCATCATCATCATCACGCAAAGAGAAAGCTCCCGTTTGGTTTCTGCTTTTGGCTTGTTTTGCAGAACCCGCCAGCAGAACCCGCGTATCCCAGGAGTGGAGCGAGCGCGGTGCGCGGTGCGCTGCCAGCGCGCCTCTCGCTCTCTGCGTCCCTCCAGCATCCCTATGGGCCGGGCGCGCAGGATCCCACACCTGCCACTCACCTGGCCCGCCCCGCGGGGAGCGGGATGCCAGCTGCCACTAGGATTCCCCTTTCAGGAGCCCCGGAAAGCGAGACAGACGTGAGAGGCGGGCACCAGGCAGGTGTCCATGGGCAGTCGTGGACCCCTGACAGTGGACCGGCCGCTGGGTCGCGGGTGAGCTGCACGCGCCCAGCTGGCCGCCGTCAGAAATGCAAATTCCCGAGGCCCAGCTCAGCCCCCAGCGAGCCCTTGTTAAGGGGGCAGCCAGGTGGCGACCGGCCGGGCCAGGAGGAGCTAGAGGAGCTGATTGAGCCGCCGGCTTCATAACCGCGGGGGCGCGTGGCGCCGGGGGCACCATGGCCAGACCCGCTGCCGCCGAGCTGGGTGAGCGGGCGGCAGACGTGGGGGGGGGGTGTGCGGGGTCCGGGGGTCCCGGCCGGCCTGACAGACGCTCCCTCTCCGCAGCCTCCTCGCCCCGAGACGTGAGCCGCAACAGAGCCGGCAGCCTGGCCGAGCGCGTGGGCCGCAACTCGCTCTGGGGTGAGTGAGGCCTGGGGTGCCGGCGAGGGACCCCCGCGGGTCGGGGGGCCCTCCCGAGTGTCGCTCCCCACCCCCCATGCACCCTCCACGCGCCCTGCTTTCGCAGGCTGTGAGCTGAGTCAGGACAAGCGGACGTGGACCTTCAGAGCCCAGGGCGAGGGGAAGCAGGACTGCAAGGTGGTGCTGAGCACGGTGGGTGCCCCGTTTGGGTGCTCTCCCCGAGGGTCATCCCATCCTGGTGGCTCCCATCCCAGTGAGTGCTGTCCCGTCCTTTTTCAAGGGTGGGTGCCCTGCTGGGTGCTGTCCCGTCCCGGGGAGTACTGTCCTGGAGGGTCGCTTCCCCATGGGTCCCCTTCCCACTGCGTCTTGCCCAGTGGGGATGTCCTGGCGGATGCTGTGCCTGTGGGTGCCATCCCGTCCCGGTGTGTGTCCCAGCCCGGTAGGTCCCGTCCTGGTGAGTGCCGTTCCTGTTGGGTGCTGTCCATACCTGCCTCTCAAAGCCCAGCGTAGAGGACTCATCCCCGGCACTCTGACCAGATGCCCTCTGCTTCCGCCTCAGACTTTCTCTTTTCAATTCCCTCGTAGATTTGCTTGGGGGAAAAAGCCAAAGAGGAGATGAACCTCGTGGATATCGTGGTAGCCGGGAACAAAGAGGACAAGAAGGCCAAGCCGGTCACCGTGGCCTCTCTTCAGCCCTCGGTGCTGCCCACGGTGAGCCTTCCTCCCCGCTGGGGACTCGCGCTGTGTCCAGACTGCAAGAGTGATGCAGCCCTAGCTCGGCCTCCTGGCTCCCCAAATGGGCAAGTGCGATGCCTTCTCAAAAATCTCATTTTCCCTGTGTGCTTACTTTCTGGGACAGGCCACTGCTGTTGACTGTCACCAGAATTCTTTTTTTCCTAATTTTATCTTAGAGTTTGCTAGACCAATTATTCATGAATAACTGCCGTTTTGTATCATTTCTTAAAATCCCTCTGTAAGAGTTAGGACTTAGCCTATACTATTGGATAAATGAGAATGCTTAGTGTCCTAAAAAAAAAAAAAAAAGAATGCATTTCAGAGGTAAGGTGCTTGCGGGCATGAGGCAGATTCGGGTTCAATCCCCAGTACCACAGGCTCAGGAGCGAGCCCTGAACACTGCAGGGTGTGGCCAAAAATAACAGGCGGGAAGAAACAAAAAATGCTTCAAACGTTTCTCCATTAAATAGTCTGTATACGCTATGCAGGAGAGATACTACAGCTGGTAAGGCACTTTTCTTAAATCTTATCTATAAAAAGAAAGTCTGTATGGCAAATACAGTGTCTAGGGGAGTGTTTTGTTTTGTTTTTGCTTTCATTGGGGTGGGGGGGACACACCAGCTGTGCTCAGAGCTTACTCTTAGCTCTCCAGGATCTCCTGGCAGGGCTGAGGGACCAGATGGAGTGCCCAGAATCAAACCCAGGTCAGCCTCAGGCAAAGCAAGAGCCCTGCCCTCTGTACTATCTCTCTGGTCTAATCGGAACCCTCTTGGAAACCTTATTCTACTTTGAAAATGTGATGTTTTGTCTTTCTGATGATGAATGGTTATCATATGCTTTTCTATGATTGTTTGCTCTTTCTTTTAAGTATTTAATGTGAGAAAATGTTAAAGAGAAGGGGCTGGAGCAATAGTACAGCGGGTAGGGTGTTTGCCTTGCATGCAGCCAACCCGGTTTCGATTCCCAGCATCCCATATGGTCCCCTGAGCACCTCCAGGAGTAATTCCTGAGTGCAGAGCCAGGAGTAACCCCTGAGCATCGCCGGGTGTGACCCAAAAAGGAAAAAGATTTTAAAAAAAAAGTTAAAGAGAATAATATCCAACCAGCCTTGCATTTCTCAGATAAACACTTGTTCATATTATAAACTTCTCTTCCGCTATTTTTTAAAATGCATCGCACTCTGCTCATGGCCAGATGTTTGCTCCGTTATGTTTTGTTTGCTCTTTACAGTGAAACTGTTGAAGACAAACTTGCTTCTTCAGTTCTCTTTTCCTGTGTTGATTTTAGTAGAAGATCCTCTGTGGTGCAGAGATGGGGTGTATGTAATGGGCTTGCTGCTGGAGACTGAGCTACCTATGGGCTTTATCACAGGAGTCAAGCATCAAGACATTTTTTTTTAAAACTTACATACTCATAAGTGAGGTTGGCTTACCAATTTTTTCCATCTTATTTATATGTGAAGGCACAAAGCTAATCTCTCAGATTGAGGGTTGAAATATTAAGTCCTGTGCTGAAAGGTGATAGAACAAGGATTATCTACCTTTGAAGATCTGGGAGACCCATCTATAAACTACCCTCAAATCTTTATTGTTTTTATCCTCTTTGTCTATGAGAGACTTCTCATACCCTTACATGTCTCCTGGGGATTTCATTAATTTCATTATTTTAAAAACCAGCTATATAAATGAGGACTCTTAAATTGGCAGTGTTTGGGAACCATGTGATACTCAGGATCAGAGTCAGGGCTCAGGGCTCTTGCATGCAACCCTTGAGTATCTCCCACCCTTAACAATGATATTTCAAGGTATACTATCCATTCATTTCAAGATTTTTTTGGTCTGATATATAAAGTATGGAGGAACATTTCTCCAAAGTTGATGTCCAATACTCTGGCACCATTTTTTGAAGACTATCCTTTCCCTGTGCAATACCTAACATTTTGGGGGGAAAAATCAATTTATCCTATTTTTGTGTGTGTGTGTGTGTATATATATATATATACACACTCTATTTTGTCTATATTCTATTTTGTCTCATTTATTTATTTCCCCTTATGCCAATAAAAGACTAATTTAACCAGTTAGGGAGATATAGCACAGGGGTTGGAGCCAAATGCTTTATCCACCTAGGACTCTCCAAGCTTTGCTCAGTATATCCCTGGAGACCCCTGAGTACTTCCCGATGTGGTCCCTGTGGGCTCCTGCCCCACTTCTATTGAACCATTCAACCCGCTAGCCTAGTATATTTGTGGGAATGTCAACTAAGTCCCCTGAGCTCTGCTTTGAAGGCACCTCCTACCCCCCAAAAAAAAGATTGATTATTGTAAATTTATAGTGAATCTTTACAGTTATAAAACTTTGGGGCTGGAGAGATAGTACAGGGGTGAAGACACTTGCCTTGTAAGCAGTCATCTGTGGGTCAACCTCTGGTATCGCATGGGCCCCCAAAGACAGCCAGGTGTAGCCCCAGAAACCCAAGTTGATTTTCTACAACTTTGGTATTCTTTTCCAAAACTATGTTGGCAATCCTAGCTCTTTAGTTTTGACTTTCTTTTAAAATGTAAGCTTACTGGGATTTTTATTGAGCTGATATTGAATCTATAGATTACTTACTATAGATATCGAAGGGCAATCGAAACTTTAATATCAAGTTTCAATAGTTTCACATGAAGTTTTTCTCAATTTTCATACATTTTTATAGTTTTATAATTTTAACAAAATTTTCTAGTTTTCAGGGTACTGGCTATATTATACTTTATACAATTAATACTTGTTTCATAATTCAGGGCACTATTAAACTGTATTAATATATATAAATATATTGAAAGATCACTCATAGATCACAAACTTCACCTGTGGATCATATCGTTCACTGACTATTAGTAAATTCAGTTGTGGTTACCATTACAGTCTTTACATATCATTACACTTAGAGCATTTTCATTGCCCCCAAAAGAAAACTCTTAACCTGTACGCAGTCACTCGCATCTTCCACACCTAAGTCCCTCCCAGCCTTGTGCAATTTTTAATGTACTTTGTTTCTCATTTACATGAAGTCCACTTAAATTGTGAAGTATTTCTTGTGGCCAACTTCTTTCATAATGTTTCAGGTTTTATCCATTTAACACTTTTTCCTTTTTATTGCCAGATAACATCCGTCCATGATGTTAAATGGCCACATTTTTCTTGTCCATTTAGCAACTGATGCACCTTTGTGTTGTTTCTACCTTTTTGGGGGGGAAAGAGAGGCCACACCCTCAGGGGTTACTCCTGACGGTGCGTGGGGGACCACTGGGGATGCTGGGAATCAAACTCAGGTCAGCCTTATGAAAGGCAAACACCTTACTTGTGGTCCTATCACTCTGGCCCTTGCTGCTACCTTTTAAATAAATGGATGTTAGGAACCTTCACGTACAGACAGTTGTATAAACATCCTGTAATATCTCTTGAGAAAATACCTGGGAATGTAATTGGTAGGTCATATTAATTTTCTATGAAACACTTTAAGGAACTTCCAAGTTGTTTTCCAAAGTGGCCACACCGTTTTCCAATTCCATCCATACATGAGGATTCCATTTCCCCACCTCCCTTCGCTTGTTTTCACTTGTTTTGATTAGTCATCTGGTGGCTATGAGAGTAGCTTATTGTGGTTTTGATTAGCATTTCTCTGCTAACTAATGTGGAACTTCATGTGCTCATTCGTTATTTGCACATGTTTTTTTGAGAACGGTCTACCTGTCTTCATATTTTAAAATCTTGAATTAAATATTTGTCTTTATATGTTTCTATTAAACATTCGTCTTTATCTATTGTCTTTGTCAATATTTGTGTTTATACTATCAAATTGTGCGAGTCTTTTATATATCTTGCACAAAAATCCTTATCCGAGGATTTGCAACTATTTCCTCCCATTCCATGGGTTGTCTCTTCACTTTTCAGATGATAAGCAGTTGAAGCACACAACAATACGTGCGCCTCAATCAAGTGCTGGTTGCTACTTTTCTGAATACTCATGTGAGACCTTCTGCAGTTCTTTGCAGCTCTCTTCTCTCCTGTTCTCTACTTTGTGAACCCTGGGTGCTGCCTTATCTTCCTGAGTTGCCTAGTTCCAGGGCCTCGGTTCAGGAAGGCCACTGGGCTCTGCTTGAGTTCCCACTCTTGTTTCTAATTGGAACACCGAGTTACAAAGCCACTCATTATGCAGTTTCAGGCATACTATGTTTTAACACCAGTCCCTTCACCTGTATCCACTTCCCTCCACCAGTGTCCCCTGTTTCCTTCCACCCCACCAGCCTGCCTCTATGGCAGGCACATCTCCCCTCCACCGTTGTCCTCGTGTTCCCTTCCCTAACTTATCCCCCGCCCCCACTCCTGTGGCAAGCTTCCTTCTGAAAACCAGTTCTCCTGCTCTTCATTTCTATTGCCTCTGGGTATCTGATCTTCCCCCACAGTTTCTACATATCTGACATATGAGACATCATTCTGTGTCTTTTTCTTCTTTTGTCTAATTTCGCTCCACATGATACTCTCCAGATCCATCCATGTTGCAGAAAATTACATGACTGTCATCTTTTCTTATGACTGAGTAGTATTCCATTTGCTTATGTGTATCATTGTTTCTTTATCCTATCACCTACTTCATGGGCACTTGGGTTGTTTCCAGATTTTGGCTGTTGTGAATAATGATGAATAGGAGTGAGTTCCCAAAGCCTGAGCCACCATAGACCCCCCTCACTGACTTCCTGTCTCTCATGGGCACTGTTCTTCCTTGACAATATCCACTGACTTGAGCCATTGACACTTTTTTTATTATTATTATTATTGAATCACCGTGAGAACAGTCACAAAGCCTTTCAGTTAAGTCTCAGTCGGTCATACAATGATCAACAGTGCACATTTTCTACCACCAAGAACCCCAGTATACCCCCCACCCGCCCACCCACCCCCTGCCTGTGTCGTAGATTTCCACTTTACTCT